TGGGGAATCTCCGAACGAAACGGGGCATGTGAATGGGAAAATCATCTATTTTCCATTCCCATTTTTGAATACAGTAAGGCATTTCTCTTTTGTAAGAGAGAAAGTGAAAAACAATGAAAGTGGGGGATACAAGCCTGAATCAACTACTGAAACTTGAAAAATCGTGGCACCGTGGTCGTTTCTTTTGGCGAGTCGGTGCCGTTGGCATGTCATTGTTCCCAAAAAGAGGTCAGCATTGGAGTCTACGATGCTCTGACATTGAATCGCTGATGTGTGGCTTTGCCCCGTTTTGACCGTAGGACTGACACCCCTGTGTCTAGGAGTGTGAGTATGTGTTTTTTTTCTCGAAGCATAATCTTACTGGTGCTTGCTAGGGAATGGATGGGAATGGGGGAATGGGGGAATGGGATGATTATTCATAGTTATTGTGGATCATTCCCTCATTCCCTACTAAGCACCAGTAAGTAATACCAGTCAATCGAGTGATGCTGCGAGAAGGTGAGAATGACAAAGACAGCTGCGGGATCTCATGGTGAAGCTCCCCGCCAAGCTGACTTGGAACAGCCAAGTTCTATCCCATGTTGGTAGTTTGATACAGGAACATCACTTACCCTCTGGTAAACTAACATAGCTATGGAAAATCACCATTGTGAATGGGAAAACTCACTATAAATGGCCATTTTCAATAGCTATGTTAAATTACCAGAGGGTATCCCAAGCAATGTTGATGTAAATCATCAAACGCCATGAAAAAAGTGTGCGCGATTTATATACGAAGGATTACAAGAGACCAGTAAATCTAGGGGTTGAGTCCTATTTCTAGTCCCTGATATTCAATGTGTTTTTTTGAGGGGAACATCTAGAGCAAAGTTCTCAATGTTTGTCTGGAAAATTCCATGGTTGTTTGCAGAAGCTGGTGCCAGTTCCTTGGCTAAGTGAGATAAATACCTAGATTCACTGTCTTAATGGTGATGAACAAAACACGTAAAAAAACATGTTTTTCCCAAAGACATCTCTGAAAATCTCTTAAAATATGGAGATTGCCAACTTGCTCATTGCTTGTCTGGTTGGTGGTTTGGAACATGAGAGGGGTAGGTCAACCACCAACCAGCATATATATATATATTATTATTGGCCATATTAACCATAATAACCATATAATTAACAATACTAATTAGCCATATTAATCATATATTAGCCATATTATGGATTATGTGTTTTTTTAAGCAACACGCGTAACATCTGCGAACGGCCAAGGTGAGATCCTGGAGGAGCTTCCACCGGCCCCTTGGGATTGGGTGGTGATGGCCATAGTGATTGCCACAAAAACAAAAGTGGGACTAGAATGTATAGGAAATCACCATGTTTTATAGGTAAATCATCATTATAAATCATCTATTTCTATGGGCCATTTTCCAGTTCGCTACGTTAAATAATCAAAGGGTAATATAGAAACGCTCCAAAATTGGCATATGTTTTGAGGTCGATAAATTGTTCAGAAACCAGGAAATTGACTCATTTATGATGGATTTATGGTGATGGTGTGGCAACCCAAAATGCTATAGACAATCCTTAACAGTTAGCTGTTTGGGGAGCATTGGAAAAACAAAAAAACAAGGTAGCACTTCCAAAGACTCCAATGATGCTTTGTTCATGATGTTCATTGTGGATACAATTTTATACATAAAGTGCACGTCATATCATCATCCTGCACAAAGCCCGCGCTCAAAATGATACTGAAACGGCACTTAAATTCCTGGCGGAAAGCTCTAGCCATGGAAACGCAAGGTTTTAAACGGCAGACATCATCGCAGTGTTGGACACGACAAGGGTTTATGGATCATATGGACAAGACTGTCCCTTTCATTTCCAACAGATCTATGATTCAATCCCAAGAATCCCATTCTCTAACCCATAGGATCCATGTATGGTATATATGCTAACATTTGGGGTATATTGATGGGATCCATGTCACCATATATAGCAGCACCATGGATCCTATGGGTAACCTCCAACCTGACCACAATTCGAAGGCGCGGGAGCCGGGGGAGCCGTACCATTAGTGGTCCGAGACAACGGATGGAGATGTTCCTGAGATGCTGTCCATAGGTGACATAGATGTTGCTACATTTAAGCATTGCTACATATGCATTTATACAGATAAATATGGATACATTCATACATGTATATATATTATATATACATTGTATTAGATATGTGTTATTTACATACAATTTTACCTATATTATGTTATAGATGCACATAGATGTATGCACCCCATACGTTAGTATTGGCAAGTAGCAGATAAGATGACCAAACAGTTGATTGAGTTTGGGTTGGTGAATAATGTTGTGAAATCCAAACATATAGTACATGATAGTACGTTTATGCATGACAATGGTTGGACTAATTTGTTTGCTAAAGTGGGGCGGCAGCAACAACAATGTGCATCAAGGGCTGACTAAATCTCTACCTTCGAATGTCTGATCATGCCTTCTACTTTTGGCCACTCTTTGGGGATTTGATAGCGAAGAAACGCCTTCTCGAATCCTACTATGTCTGTTTTTGTTGGTCCTAAACACTGCAATTCCGACCAAGACTCAAGCCATAAACGCCCCAAATCCAAAGATAATCTGCTGTAGGAATTTTCACATCTGGATCCAACAGAACGAAACCGTCAATATTTACGCTCTCTCTGACATGTTGGTTGGAAGCAATGGCCATTTTGGTCATTCAATTTTCCAGTCACCTGGCAATCGGTAAAGAAACAGCTTCGGTCGCCATGAAAGCGCTGACCGATACAATACGGCCATACAGGGTTCCCCGCTTTCAAGCGGCCATACAGGGTTCCCCGCTTTCAAGGGGAGCCGTCACGGGAGAACACGGACGCGCGCGACCGTGGCCAGATTCATGCTGAGGGCATGTAGTATGCCGCATATGCCGTGTTTTACTAGTTTGACTATCCACCGCAGTGTTGGAAGTCCCTTTGTTTCGGTGTGTTCCATACTGGATTGCTTTGCAGCGAATCCTTGCCACCGCTAGCTTTTTGCTCTGAGCTCTTTTGCTATGCTGACCACGGCAGCAGTTTCCTGCCTACAGCTGAGTCTTGACGTGGGCTCCCATGTCTTTTCAGAGGAAACAACTAATAGTTCCCGAAGTGAGTGATCAAAGTTTGAGACCCACACACGAGCAGCCATGGATCTAAACATAACTGTTTAATACTGTTTATACAACACTTGAACTGTGTCTTGCCCCGTGTGGGCCTTTACCTATGCTGCAAAGCGCAGGCTGTGCTCACATGTTGTCCCCATCCATCCATAGGGATTTGTCCATCATGAAGATGGCTTGTCAATGAAGATGGGGTTGCTCAGCCATGCTAAGCCTATGTTTCTATATGTTTCTTTCATCATGGCGCACATGTGTATAATACACCATCATGCGTCGCTGTCAGGGAAGTGGTGAAACAGTACCACCTTGACATCTTGACTATATTTGTGTTTTATGGATGTAAATTTGCGGACATTTGTAGATTGCAGTATCGATGCATCATGGTTCAGCGTCAAGACTCAACGCACGCACACGCACACACACACACACTCAGAGACCCCCACAATACAAACATCGAGACATAGCGTATTCCTGTGAGTTTATGATTTGTCACTCAAGAGTATCCGGTTTGAAGATGGAATGGTTGACACTTTTGATGTAAGAAGTTGCCCACCGAGTCAAACATGACGTCGTGATTTTGGGGTACTCTAGTTTTGAAGCTGTAGTCGATTCCACATTTTTTTTGATGTGAACGAAAAGTACCAGAATGAACTGCCGATGATACAAACAGAACATATTTATGTTGAGGTTCACATTCCAAAAAACGCGGAAGCACAAAGGCTCAAGTTGCACATTCCCTATGTACAACCAAAACTTAACAAAACCATGTGTCACCACAAGTACCGGCCTTTTCAGCCCCTGCGGTTCGGTTCACGTGGCGGTTCGACGTCAAGACAAGCTCTGTACAGCGCTAGGCTGTAGGCCCGTGGTTCCGTGCAACCCCGAAAAAACAGGGAGGTGATGCTGTGCTTCACCCGGAGGCGCGGTTGTCAGGTTGTCATGACGTATGGGATCTGTTGGTTTTCGATTTTTTATTTTTTTGGTTGGAAATGATCTGTAAAGCGGGTATAGTTATGTAATGTTATGTAATGTTATGTATAGTTTATGGCTTAGTAAGCAATAAGATAGTCTACTTCAGAACATGAAGTCCGGATGTGGTGTGGATGGCGACCTCCAATGGTTGTGAAGCCAGGTCAACCTAACCAACCGTTTGCCACAACGGCAGCAGAAAAGATTCCGCAGATTCCGCGGTCGGGGTGGCGAAAGTTGGGGTTTCTTAAAATGGGGGATGCACCTTGCGCGTCACGGGGATGCCCAAAATTATGGCTTTCAATCCTAAATTATGGTTTTATTTTAAGGATGATTTAAGTGGTACCATGTGGTACCTCATTTTAAGGCGCTTAGCTCCGAATAGGAATCCCCACAATTTGTATGGTGACCTTGTGTTTGACAAGAGCCACTCAAATGATGGCTCATATTGTGATACATTATATATTATATAACTATCATATATTATCAGTAACTATCCAGATTAGATGTACTGAGACGGATGCACATGTGGGAAAACATGTAAAAGCAAAACAGCGAATGATTGAACTTTTGAGCATCGTATCCTTTTGGGCAGTTTGGGGCAAGTAGCTCCTTTGATGCCTGCACCCATGTACCAGAAGACCTAAAAGGTTCATGCAGAAACCTCTACATGATATGTCCAATGGTTGTAAATGCGTCTCAAACCATGGAAAGCGATATGGTGAACTACTTAAAGCGAGAACGTGATTTGTGTGTGAAGTTGAAAGGTGTTGTTGTTTTTCGCATTCATTTGGGATTGTATAGTAACCTCTTATGCACTGTTTTAGTATTCGTCGGATGTGAATCCAGGGGCCTGAAAGGCCCAGAGGTGCTCCCAAAAGGCCTAGAGTACCCACTTCTGACCACAGAACTTGTTGGAAAAACCCTTCACGACACAGGCTCTGGAAAGCAGAGACTGTGCTTGAGAAACATGTTTTCACATGTTTCCTGATTTTACCAGGTTACCCGATGAAATTATCGATAACCAAGTCGATGACGTAGCGATAACCAAAATTGCCAAAAGGGGCCCCTGGCAGCCAGAGACCCAATCCATCCCTGGAGTGGCGCACTTCAATTTTTTGTCAAGTCTTGAAACATCTACTTGGCGTGGTCCAGCCTGGCCTTGAAACCCATCATAAGATAGATTGATCCAAACAGATGAACAGAAACTGCAGAAGCAGAAGGCGTGCAACAGTGCAAAAACCAAACTGTTCTGAGGGAAACTCCTTACGCACTTTGAAGACAAACAGTGGACAGCAGACTGCTGACCATGAAGTGCCCCTATTGTTGGTGTGGAGATGAATGGAAGCGGGTCTGCAAATCAATAGCCGTCGTTTGACATGCTACAAAAACCATGTCAAGCGATATAGGGAACTACCTAAAACGATAACCTTTGCTCATGACCACCTTTGTGACCCTTAGTTTTGGTCCTGGCTCATATAGGTATATGATTTTATATAGAATGTTGCGCAAACAAAAAAATGTTTTCATATTTCAGTATCGGGTACAATGTGTGTATCGAAAACGTCGCGTCGTCATTTTGTCAGAGCAACGGCATGTCGACTTGTCGATACTTGTCGGCACCAAGGTACCAAGGATGTCCAGCGATGTTCTGAGCACAGCGATGGCGTCCACAATAGTTACATAAACCTAATAACTAATTGTTATGTCATGTTCTGTCTATCTAAAAACATCTAATAACATATATATATATAAAACTATACTTTACTGTACACTATACTACAAACTCTACTATACGTCTGGGGTTTGCCACTACCCAGAACTTCACGGGGAGGGATTTTGACCGAGAAAATTACCAAAACTTAATGGGCATAATGGGTTTGGAGATTCATTTCAATTCTTGTGTCCGATTCTGCCATTAGAGCATAGCATGCGGCGGTAAGATCGCCGGAATCTGACTCGCTGAGCCGATGCCGATTGAAGTGAAAAGAACACCATTTCCGCGCTGGATGCTATGGCCCTGTGGAGCAATGCCGTTACAATTTATACACACTGGTAAGGTAAACCCATTCAACTGGTAAACAACCCAACTTATTACTGGGAGATAGTAGGAGTGTGTGTGTATATATATATATATGTATATATATTTATTACCCCATAAACAAAAAAAAACTAAGGAAAATATTACGAAAATAGTAATGAATTATATATATATATTCATTTTGTGTATATGTATATACATAGATAATCACATTGTATGTATACATATACATCTCTTCACCAAAAGGCTCAAATTGCAATGTTGGTGGGGAAAGTTGGAAATTTGTTCATAATGAGGGTCTTCCTACGAATGTTCAGACCCAAGTGGCACCATCATTTTCCAAGGCAAAATCAACTCTCACAATTGGTTTAAGTATGTTTAAGTGAAATTTTTCGGAAGTCCCCATATTTCGTGAAGGTAGGGGACCCCACAGTTATCCTTAAACAGTCGTATCTTAGCGCTGCCAGGTGAAGGAACATCGTCGACGTGAAAAGACCTTGAGGTTTTCGCCGCTGGTTAACCATTGTTTTTAATGAATTGGGATATACCGGGAGATACAACCATGAACATATTAAAATAAGATATAACATCATATGATCCCTTCCCCCATTCATTTTTTTCGCACCCCCAGAAACCATGGTTTCTTAGCGGATAACAAACACACATATTTGGGGACCAATAAATATTTTGGAGATGGGATTATTTCTGATTTGCGAATTAAAAAATGATTCGCCCAGATAGCTCAAGTTTCGAATGTTGGGATTTACCCGCAAATGAACAAAACATAACAAAATGATATGAACATCTACGCAAACCCCTCCTATGAACATGATCTACACATGGTGCGTTTTCCATTTTTTTTAACTGGAGGCTTATCAAAAAAAACATAAAGCCTGGTGCCCATTGTTTTGGGCATTTTCCAAAGTGCCCAAAATTTTGGTCACTGGAAATTGTTCCATTTAAGAGTAGGATTTGAACGGGTGTTTATGGCACTTTACGGTCAACGGCACTTTTACGGTTATTTTTGCAGTGAAATGCGTGTGAGAATTGCAAAGTGCCACAAAAATGGGCTACTAGACCATACTAGGCCAAAGTAGCCTGAGACAATAGGCAACTACGGCTTTCCAGTGTGTTTCTGCCTAGACTCTCCAAAGACCCAAAAAAGATCAAAAAAATGTAAAAGTACTATAGTTCATTCATTATAACAGCATGTTCATGGGTATGGGCAGTCCCGGAGGGTCTAGGTGGTGGTTCGGGATTCCAGCTATACCCTCTGGAAATCAGCTCCATAGCTGGAAAATCCCCAGCTCTGATGATTTTCCCAGCGAACTAAACATCTATGTCGGTCCAGGATTTTCAGTTGCCATGTTACGACCTTTGGGGATTTTTTGAGGTATATCTATCATATTTTTAGTGGATGTTCATCCCATTTTCCTACAACATTTTAGCATTTTGTTTTTTTCTGAAATTTCCATGTCATTCATGATGATTAATTATAAAAATCATATCATTTCATGAAAAATCGCCATGTCATTCATAATTCATGCACCATAGATTTTCCCATGTTTCATCACCAGGTCCGATGCGGAGATCATCCGTTCGCGGCTGGAGGTCATTGGCTCCCAACTCAAGGCAGGGCGGTCATTGGCACGTCATGGAACAATTTGAAAATGTGATGAATTTCTAAGGGAAAGGACGAAATTTATGGTTTTTTTTGTGTTTCCCGTGATTTTTGTAGGACATTGTGTATCTACAAGTTGCTTTTGACAGATTTTTTTTGTTGCACGTACCAACAGATTCCATTGTGTTTAGGTTCAGAAAAAGAATTTGATTCCAAGGATATAGATTCTATTCCCAGTGGATCATATTTACATGTGTTGATATCTGCATACACCCGTTGTACGGTTGTCCGGTAGTCTATACTTGGACTATACCATCACTGTTTCCCATTCATATGTGTTTTTTTTAACCAAAAAATGTCAAAAATAGCACTTTTAATGGAAAAAAAAAACGATCATTGAAACTGGGGATGTCCAAGTGCTCCACCACTCTTTGGAAGGTAGCCCGCAGTTTCAAAGTTTCCACTCTATTGCACCCCAAAGAAGACACTACTGCCTAGGTTGCAGCCCCAGTTTGGTTGGACAATACCAGATTTTTGGAAAAGAAACATGCTGTATCCCACTGTCAATACGTGCGTGCTTCACTCCATGTTTACCATTCTGAAGATGACTGGGTTACATGCCTTCACCAACCATGCACAATTGAGCAATTCCCCCAATCCTTTGTAATGTTGGCTCTTGATTAGTGTGGCCCCCCCTTCCACAATTTGCAGGTACTCAATAAATCACCATTTTAGACGACCCCCCTCAACAATGTTTAGGATAGTCAACTTAAGTAAGGATTTCAATTGACATCAATCTACTTTCAATTGATTTTCCTTTTATAGCGACACACTGAAACTTAGAATGCGATTTTGGAAACGGCGCGCTCCAAAAAATTCGCCGGAAAATGCCAAAAAGTGGGGTCCTGCATTTTTTTGCCCCGTTTTTTCAGTCGAGGCATCTTAGTAATGGAGATCTTAGAATGCGTGCCCACCGAATTGTTTATCATATAATTGTCCTTCTATCATGGTTTTGAGTGGGAATTCTCAGGTCGCCGCGTTCTAGTATCTTGTGATTTTCACCAACAACGGATTTTATTTTTCAAGTTTTATCTGCATTTTGGACACACTTTGCATTTTTTTGGGATGTTCCAGAAAAAATCCCCAAAAGTTGTTGTGCACAATAGGGTACCATCGAAACAATTATATACATTATTGAGGATCTGGGTCACTCATGGGGTACCCCCTTGAAAAATTGTTTGGTGCTGTTTTATAATAAGGGTTTAATAAGGCATCTAATTATTTGGGAAACCTTGCATTTTCAAGGCTTTAACATGGATATGGCTTTCTAAAGTAAATGGACCAGCTTTACCAACGAAAGGCGTTTAAAGGTGGATAAAGCTTCTCCTGAAAAAAAAAGGAATCTGAGAAAAAACTGTCCACAATAGAGCTCCACCCCCACCATCCACAGGATATTGAATTATTTTGGAAAATCCCACAATAGTGATCCATCGCACTAATCGATAGCCAATATTAGTTGATGTTTTTTGCTGGCATATGCATGCAGAACTTGCTTCAAGGGGACTCTTAGAATCCAATACAAGTTTCTCTGAAACTATATCCCGAAAAACTCCTGTGATTCATCCTCATGTTCACCAATCTTCGCTACTAAAATGCCCGTTTTGAGGTATCCTAGGTATCCTACAGCCGATCTTCACCGCTTTGCCGTGTTAGGCCAAGTTGCGCGAACACCAAGAGGCCAACTCTGACCTAGCAGCTTTAGAGGAGGACACGCCTCTGATGTAACAGGATGTGGGTGGCATCCTGCACGAAAAACCCGAGAAAATTGATGAAATTGGACTAGGGAAGTCGGTTGATACCGATCAGTATTGAAATATATTGAACTGCTTCAATTATAGAGATGGATATGATGAATCTGCAGCTGCATGGGCTTTGAAACTGGCTTGTTGGGACACTTTGCAGCAACATGCAGCAGCAATCTCCAAGGGAATGTCAAGGAATCAACACAGTGCCAAATGAAATCTGAAACAATGTGGCAGAATTGCCATGATTTTGTCCCAAGCCACAACCACATCTCCGGTGATCGTATGGAAATCCATGGCTTTCATTTTCCCCCTGGAAATGATCTACAGATGGTGGTTTTTGCAGGGCATATCTATCTTAAGTTATTGGGCTTCACTATGATGTATATATGTTATTATTGGGCTATAAAACTATCTTAAGTTCTTGGGCAACCCAATCTATGTATATATTATTGGAGGGTCGTATGACTTTGGTTCTTAGTATGGTGATCTGCACCTTGATAGACTTGTCTCAAGACCGCGCAAGATTACAAGGTGTCCTCACTTTCGAAGATGGTCATGGTCATGGCAATATGTGCAATAAGGGGCGGCCACGGTGTTGAACAATCGCCAAATCAGCAGTGTTCACAACCCTTGTCGGTTGATGCATTTAGGTCAATTGCGATTTAATTCATGATTGTTTACATCAGGCTTCAACCGGCAATAATATGATGATATCATTGATAAATATATTGATATACAAAGATGTTTGGTTGATGAGTTGAGTAGTTTGGGGCTTTTGTACCCTTGCTATATTGGTGATTCTCACAATCCATGGGAGATCCATTCTTGACCTGCTGGGGCTCGTTTGTCGTTGCCAATGGCGCTCGCTGGCGCTCGCAGCTCAGCATGATTGAATTGCCAAACCCACATCAAAGAGGTATGTTTATAATTGTTAATACATCCCAGATTCAATTGTCTTTCAGGAAAACCTTGTTTTGTTTGAATTAACAAAGGTTTGCCAAAAGCATTGTTGAAATAAAGGTATGGAAGCTGCTCGTACTTGGTTGAAACAAAACTGTTCTTCGTTAGCCCAGGTGTTTTACACAAAGATTTCTTGGTCAAATGTGGAACCCGGTTGATTGATGTTTGCTCATGTCCATCTGGCGTTGATCAAACATACGTAGACCAATGGCATATGTGACCAATTGACCAACTGGATCAATCTACTTCAATATTTTGTGTTGTTGCATACACCCAGATTTCTGACCAGCAAAGATGATATAGTACCAGTCTTACACCCGAATTTGGTGGAAGAGGTACACCCTGGTGGTTCAAATGGTCAAACCAGCTTGTTCGCCAGACAAGTCCTCCAAGATACCCATGAAATCGATGGTGGGGTGCGTAAAATCCTTTAATCTACAGGTCAACCTGCAATCTCTTTGGAGGTCTTCTAAATGCCAGATTTCTGGTTCCCGTTCTTGCCCACTTGGACCGCCGGGTCTTTGAACAGGCTTTTTGGACCTGTTCAATTGTTGAAATCATACAGTTCCTTTTCATGAAACCATGGTTGGCAGTTATGGTGAGTATAAATGCTGGTTGGTGGTTTGGAAGATGTTTTGTTTTTCCGTATATTGAGAATACTAATCCCAACTGACTGATATTTTTTCAGAGGGATTGAAACCACCAACCAGTAATGTGTATTAAGCATATGGTTACTGATTCATAGCAACCAAGGTGACACTGAAATTACCAACTTTAGAGTCACCATTCACCATTACCATATAGAACGCAACCTCAAATAAAGTAGAAAGTCATCAGTTATATTTATCAGTAATGATTTCAGTAGATCACCCCCGGTAGGATAGAATCAGCTTGTTTGAAGAGGATTTAACATAAGAACTATCGTTGGTTCATCCTGGGGTGACTTCCTTCCCCTCTTCGGATTCCTGGCTGCTTCACCAGCCTAGGCAAGCGCCGCTTCGCCTGGGATGACGAGCTCGACGGCGACGATGGCGACGATGGCGGTGGCGATGCCAGCTCCAGTGGTGATGAGGAACTGGCGGAACCGGTGGTGGGTTTGAAAGGGAAAACTATGGAACAAAACAGATGATTGGGATGATTTTTGAGGGGAAACATAGTGGAAACATGTGGACACCTGAGGAAGATTTTCGTTATTTTAGGCTGGCAGGTGGTTTTAAGTATGTGATGTGTGCACTTATATGATTTGAATTGATATGATATGATATGATATGATATGATACTGTATGTGTACAGTATAATGGTTATAAGTTATATATATATATATATCATATGCACACGTTCCCCCTATGACTAATTAATCAATAGATATGTCATATGTTCCTCTGCCTAGATTCTTCTCTGATGGACCAATGGACCCAGGTGAATTTCGTCTCGCGAGTGAGTCTATTTCCAGGTGCGTAAGTGAGTGAATTTCCCAGGTGCGTAAGTGAGTCTATTTCCCAGGTGCGCAAGTGAGTGTAGTGCCCCAGGTGATGGTGCCCCCCAGTGATGTTAGTTAGTTTATAAACCCCATGAATACTAGTTCGTTATCTAGTTCGTTATATCTACCATAAACCATAGAATTCAGCCACTCAGCCATGTCAACCAAAAAAAGCTATCGACTGGGGGCATCCTGCAGGTGATAGACATGTCAAAGAAATCCCGCAGGAGGATGAGATTCCTGACGGATGGGAGTCGCAGAAGACCCTGGAGATTCACACGCAGGTGCCTTTCGGTTTTGTGAGCAACCGGTGGAAACGTTTGGAAAATGCAGCAACTGGCGGTGATCCCTTCAAAAAATGTTGTTTAAAATGGATTAAACCATGGTGATACCATCGTATTCAGCTGGTGGTTTTGGGGGGAATTTCGATTTTTGTTTGGACCGAACATGTTTCAATCGCATGAAATATTCCAGATTATTCCAGCGACCCAACTGGATGGCCGAAGTGTTGAGCCATGCTTCCAAGTCCGGCGGCAAAGCCATGTCGGAGAGTGGCCAGGTCAGGATGGTCAAAAAGCTACATCATAGAGATGTTGTCCTTGGGGTTTGTACCGTCAGTGTCTGGCATTTCATTCGATTTTAATTCGATATTCTGCTATCTTCCGCTCCTGTGGATGTGAGAACGTGCCACGTTTTCGGTCTTGACCCATGGCTGTGCATTGGCCACATGTTCCCTTGCGGAACTGAACGACTTCGATGGACGCGCTGCAGGTATGCCCTAGCGCTGAGTACTTCGAACTCAGAGAGCAGTCCGAGGTAGAGGTGCTGCGCGCATTGGAGCAACAGTCAGGTGATTTAGGTGTTTCCACAGTCATGGGGATACCCCCAAATGGATTCCAAATGGATGGCTTAGAATGGAAAATCTTATTATAATTGATAATTTAGAGGTACCCCTATTTCAGGAAACCTCCATTTATGAAGGAATATATGTTAAATATAATGTTATATATAATATACACATCATAGTAACTCACAAATTAATTTCTGAACCCAGTCAACTGCAGACATATCCACTAGAAATCTCACACTTAGTCTGACACGCCAACTTACTCATCAGAAATCCATTATGTTCCAACTTATAGTGTTCCAGACTACCACAGGGTTACCCCAATGGGGGTTACTGCAATCATCTCCAATTTATAGACTTCAATAGACCAAAATATTTAGACACAAATAGACATAATCATAGTGATGGAACATCCCTTTGATGGGAAATCACTTGCATCCACATGCATCAAATGCTGACGCCAACATATGCCATGTGGTCCAAATCAAGGTAATTTCCACAATGCAACCAAACCTGTGTTTACAAACCATATGCCAAAAGTGAGAATGCAATGCACCAGATGCTGAATTGTCGACAAGTGAGGTTTCAAAAACACAACCACAACTCTGATGAACCATGTAAATCATATTGAACCATAAAAAACATATTATAGAACCATAAAAAACATATTATAGAACCATAAAAATCATATTATAGAACCATAAAAATCATATTATAGAACCATATAATACTATATAATTAATCCATTAGAATCATCTATTTGCCCCTTCCCCCATAGCCATCCCCTGACGCTTCAGGTGCCCAGTGCCGCTCCGCTGCGGGGCCGCGCTGTGGTGCTGCGCCGCCGGCAGCGGCTGCGCGCGCAGCCGGCGGCGGAGAAGGCGCCGGAGGCGGCGCGGCAGCTACGGGGACGCGGCTTCGTGCCATGGCCGGCATGGCCGAAAGGGGAAGAAACGGCAAGATGGTGATTATGATGATTTATATTTATATACATATATACATATATATATATATATATTGAATATGATAAGCAAGGCATATTAAGGCTATGAAGGTAGTATTTGATGATATTTTATGATGTGTTTTTTTGTTTCTATGATGGTTGGTGACATGTATGTTACCAACTATGATGGTGTACTATGATGATTACGATTATGGTTGTGCCCCCCAGTTTTGGTTCATACCCCCATAGCTAGACCCTCTAAATACTCCGACAAAAATCGGAAAAGTACGAAAACTAATATTGCATAAACCAATATTGGGAGATAAGGGAGATTATGGGAATGTTGGTATATAAATATTGATATTCCAACAGTATGCAGCATTGAGGATAGGGTTAGAATATGATGGTTGGAAAATGATGGTATATAATAAGGTTATACTATGATTGTAATATATAGTTTATTATTAGAGTATCCAGTGAATCCGGTGGTTATCGGCAAGCGGTTCAGAGCTATCCATATTACCAATAAATAATTTGAGTTCACAACCACATTATAGTTAAGTTGTTTAACTTATTGAAATTGATGCGTAGTATGGTGATATATTGTTGACTAGGGACAGAATGGGAAACATATGAAAATATGATATTGATGGGGAAATGATTACATAAATGTTGGATAATTAAAGTAAACCGACCCCAAGAAAAGAGATTTGGTATACACATTTTCAGGGATGATGTTTGTTTGTTTTTTTATGACCAAAATTGTTGGTTGGTTATGTTGGGATTGTTTATTATTGGGTCTACTACAATACCACATTATTTGAGCAAAACATGGGTGGTGGGCAAACCAAGAAATTCAACTGTTTCTTGGGTGTCGAGCATATAACATATATCCCACCATCTCCCATTTTCTATCTCACAACGTCCCCATCATGTTCCCATTATATCCCATACGATGGTCAGCCAGCCCCAAATGTTTCTAATACTCGTAGTTGGTTACTACATCCCCTTGTATATCTAAATTCTATCCAATATTGCCATATAGTGCCACCATTACATGTGAAACATCATAGAAACACATCAGCCAACATCAGCCAACATCAGCAGATCCTGTATCAAAGGATGATAATCCCATGTCCCATGAAAAGTCCCATCTTCATACAGTCTACCATTCATATCCCAGGTCTATCCCCAACGGTTTCACCATAGTTTCGCCATTTTATCTCATGGATTTTACCCTTGTCCACCCTGGATCCCATAGGGATCCAGGGTGGGATCCAGGGTGGTGAGCTTCTGCCTCAGGTCGTGTGGGATGATTTCCTGGGCCACCCAGTTGCCAGCGAGCTGCTGGAGGGCTTCGAGACCTTGCAGTGGAGCCCCGGACGCCTGGGAAGTGCGGAAAGCAGGCGGGCTTCGGGGCTTCGGGGCTTCGCGGCGGGGGTGGTGAAAATGATGGTAGGTGATGGTAGATGTATACATTGGAATCATTGGATGTGGATTTAATGGGATGTCATGGGATGTTGGATTTATATCGTATTAATGGAATTTAATGCCCCAGTTTCGACAGCGAAGTTACTTATGCAGGGAACTTGGTGAACTGTCGGCTTTATCGGGGATGTAACTATAGTTCATGGGTTTCTAAACGAACTAACAACTGGGGGGTCCTTCCTTGTAACTTGGATGCCTGCAGAGATCAGGGGTTTCTCCCGATTTCTCCCAATCCATTGTGTCAAGAGAGGCTATTTCTATCTGTCCCAACATAGCCAGGATCATGAAATCATTGAAACCATTTCATCAATGGTGGGCCTGACCACGATTCTGTTTTTCAAACCCATACCTACCAAGTTCCTGCAAGCTCTCCTTATTTTTTTTAAAGAAGCACTTCAGTAGAGCTATAAAAACTGTCATTATTCAGGAAATGTTGGCTAAGTTCACATCAGTTTACACAATTTTAATGTGAAATGTATATGATACCCTCTGGTAAACTAACAGCTCGCGTCTTTGAAAATTGCCAAGAAATCGTTGAATTATCCAATAAATATGGTGATTTTCCATCGTTTCTGGTATGTTTACCAGAGGCTACTTTTCTCCCCCAGATCCCTCCGCGGCGACCGTATTGCATGGCCCGACGTGGACGGCACGGGACGCTTCGGTGATGCGCTGCGAAGCTGGATCAAGGCTGCGGTTTTTGGGGTCCCAAAAGAGGTACCTGGGCCATGGGATTAGCTGGTTAGCAAGTGGTTAGCAAGTGGCGAAAAATGGACCCATGGATGTTGTTTCGTTTGTTGTATCCCAATTATAATCCACTTACATCTATGTACTAACTAGTTATTTAACTCCGTGTCCCACCTAAGTAAATAGTAAGGTGTTTATCCACAAAAAAATTGCCAGTGAAGTGGTTGATATCGTTTATAACTTTTATACCCAACAAAACGGTTAAGTTGGTTTAGACTGTAAGGCTTCCAACATGGTTTATGGTATATAGACATAGATATATCCATCTATAGACATATAGATTGATGCAGAGATAGGTTTAGACACCAACTTGTAACGAGGGCCCACAGTGAAAGTTGTTCAAGTTGTATCCTTCTTGTAGATTTGTGTGGTTTGGTAATGTGTGGCATATTTGTAGCATTGCACAGTCTTCCCCAACTTCAATGGCTACTATCAAGTATTGCACATGCATTGCATCAGTCAAATACCGCAGATATTGAATTATTGGGATAGTCATATAACTACGCGATCTCCGAGGACCAAGCTACTAAGCCTGATAAACTATCAATTTTAAACATACAGAAAGACACGTACAGTTATATGGCGACCAACATGCGACAATGTCGCATTTTTGCAGGTTTTTGGAACTTTTCGTTATTGCTTGTCCAGTGTATACAAGCGCAACCTTTTTAGGGTTCCCGGTATTTGCAAACTAGTTCCACCCTGTATATATGTAGCAAGTGGGCGCCAAACCCCACGTTCGCCCACACCCAAAGAACACACCCAAACAAAACACTGGCAAAAGGCAGCGATTTGACTTCAGGTTTTTAGGATTTAGGGTTTTAATTTAGGGTTTACGTTTTTAGGCTTTTAGGGGTTTAGGTTCCTTTGGGTTTTTGGGTTTTAGGTTTTGGAAAGTTCAAAAAACGCTAGCCTTACGCAGGGATTTGAGCATGTCAAAGGATATGCGGGATCCGATGCGGGCAAACGTGGGGTTTGCAGTGAGCATGTTTAAATGTTTTAACATATACAAACCCACTTGATCGTTGGTTGTAAGAGGTGGTTTTTCCTCCATTAACCGATGAACCAAGGGTGAACTTGTCCTCCATTTCAGCTGTGGCCAGGCTTTAGATGAGTTGGTACTTCAGTTGCATCTCAGCTGAGTTGGCTGTTTTCTCAGAAATTCAGCCAGGTTCAGCAATGGCATGGCATCAGAAACATGGAGCATGAAATGAACCCAAATATCTATAGAAATAAGATCTAAAAACTTTTAAAGGGTCTACCCTATTGTATTATAAACATAACTACTGAGTCCAAAGTTTCCGGTGGACTAAGCCATTGGCTACTTCCAAGTCCAAAGATTTGACAGATCCTCCTTGTTTGACGGGTGGCTAAACCACCAGTTGATATGAACATGGATTTGTTCATTTTTACATATTCCCTTTGGAACAGATGTTGGCTGATATCCCAACATTTTAATATTTCATACCAAAAATTCATAACAAATTGATATTTTCACTTTCTGGACGTATCCAACGGTTTTTGCCCCACATGTTGATCCCTCTTAGTTTAAGTTCTGGCGCCTCTTGAACCTCCAGGCAGCCGTTGCTCAATGATGCCACCGAGCTAGCCAGGGTTTCACACCGGGAGCCACCCATGGCGTCGGTGTACCCACAACATGCCCGGTATATCAGACACTACGACAACAACTGCCACTGGACGCTCCGACAGTTCGGCAAAAATGTTGGTTTTTTTCGTGGCGGCCAGTTCCCGAAAATGGGAGGTTAGATTGACGAAAATGGGAGGTCTTCACTGTTCTGATAGCAGTTGAGTTTGCTGAACAAAGACAGTTTGTTTGATGATTTTCCCAGTAAAGCCTCCACAAATCGTGTGGGGATTTCCCAGCCAATGGAGCTCATGACCGGAGGTTGTTTCGCTGATTCTGAGACAAGACATATTGGGGAGCCTCAAAACGTCCTTAAAGATGATCTTAACATATCTTAACAGCATTGAGCTGACTTTAGGCTGAAACAACCTCCACAAAACTCAAACACCTAGAAACGGAAAGTCAACGAATTAATTCTAGAACTAGTGTAGAAATGTATAGCATTTGTAGTGAAATCGCGATGCCTTTTCGGAACCTGGTTTTCGATCTAGATGTTGACCATTTCGATCTTGTCCTATGTGAGGTGAAGAGGGCCTGGGAGACTGCAATGGACGTCGGCTGACCGCAGTGTATTACCTGAATAAGGGCATCACTGACAGCCACCTGGAAGCTATCGATGTCGGAGAAAGGAATCGGGACATGACGGGAAAGCATCATAACTGGAGTACATGGTTATGGGTCAAAACCCTTAGCACATGGGTCAACATCAAAATAGCTGGTAAATGGATGTAAATGGATGCAAATCCACCTAAACATGGCATCATGGCAATCATTGGTTTTGTTCCATCTCTATATACATGATAACACAGCAGAATGATGTTAGGACTGGGTATATACATATATATATAGCAGAATGCATGCCTCACCATGACGCACAATGACTCAATTCTCGGGTTGTTGCTGATTCTAAGACATGTTGGACAGGTGGTGCAAAGACAATTCGCCATTCCAGAGATGATCTTAGCAACACATTGATATATCATTCGATTGAATATATATATATATAAATGTTAGAGAGTATTTATATATGTACATATTATATACATATATATATATAATCAATACATATACATATTTAATACATAATATATATATATATATATGTTTATATAAGGTGTTTATATTTTAAATATAATATCAAGTTTGGGTATTTGCGATTATTTTTTCGTGTCGATGTCCATTGTAATTAGTCGTGTTTTGCTACGCAATAATGCAGTCAATTCATCTAACTGGTGAGACCATGTCAGATGGCTAGTCTTAAGGCGATGGTGGGCACTTGCGCATCTTGGGTCAACGGGGTGGTGTTTATGATGCTTGGACTGACGCGAGCTGTATATGCCTTGGTCAAGGGGTTTAAATGGTTGTCAATCGCCCAGAAGCGGATGCTTCTGAGCCCGGGGGGCAGCTAATGTATCATTAGCCATGTCATAAAACCTCCCGATGACTCTTTCAAATACAGCATTATCTTACAGAATCTTTTATCTGCTATTTGATGATGGCAATGGCATGATGCAAATCGATACAAATGGGCTAACATTTCACTTTGTTTGGGACTTGGTGACCGGCAACTGGGGATTCTGAGGGTGCCCTCGGAGGATCATCCCACTGGTAGCAACTTTTTCTGGTGATTTGACATGGTTTTGGAAAATCACCTTTATTTATATTTATATATACACATTGACATATATACATATATACATATTTACATATATACATATATGCATATATACATATGTACATATATGCATATATACATATGTACAAATATACAGATATACATATATGTATATATACATATATACATATACATATTTACATATATACATATATATATATATACATTTACATGTTTACATATATACATAGATACATAGATACATAGATACATAGATACATAGATACATAGATACATAGATACATATATACATTCATTCATTCATTCATTCATTCATTCATTCATTCATTCATTCATTCATTGATTCATTCACTCATTCATTCATTCATTCATTCATTCATACATGCATACATACATACATACATATATACATTTAAATTTACATATATACACAAATAAATTTAGACATATATACAGATATACATATATACAGATATACATATATACAGATATACATATTTACAAATGTACATATTTACAAATATACATATTTACAAATGTACATATATACAGATATACATATATACAGATATACAGATATACATATATGTATATATACATATATATATATATATACATATATATACATATATATACATGTATACATATATACAAATATATACATGTTTACATATATACATATATGTATATATACATATATACATATATACATATATACATATATACATATATACATATATACATATATACATATATACATATATACATATATACATATATACGTATATTTATATATACAAATTTACATATACACATATATACATATTTACATATATACATATATACATATATACATATATGCATATATACATATATACATATATACAAATATACACATGTACATATATGTATATATACATATATACATATATACATATCACATATGTACATATACATATATATATATATATACATATACATGTTTACATAAATACATAGATACATAGATACATAGATACATAGATACATATTTACATTCATTCATTCATTCATTCATTCATTCATTCATTCATTCATTCATTCATTATTTCATTCATTCATTCATTCATTCATTCATTCATACATACATACATATATACATTTAAATTTACATATATACACAAATAAATTTAGACATATTTACAGATATACACATATACAGAGATACATATATACAGATTTACTTTTTCACAGATATACATATATACAGATTTGTATATATACATTTATCAATATATATATATATATATATATATGTATATACAAAATATACATATTTACAAATGTACATATTTACAAATATACATATTTACAAATGTACATATATACAGATATACATATATACAGATATATTTTTTTACAGATATACGTATATACATATTTGTATATATACATTTATCAATATATATATATATATACATACAAATATACATATTTACAAATGTACATATATACAGATATACATATTTACAGATTTACAGATATATATATATTTATATACATACACACGTAGTATTAAGTAAATCATGCATAGCCATGGCGAACAGTTTCCATGGCAATGTTTTTCAAAATTGCCAGAGGCTATTCCTGACAGAAGCATCCTCCAGTTCCACCGTGGATCCTCCCAGGACATCCTCCCCTCCTTCGACACGCTGAGCCTCTTCTGGTCGGATCGACGCTCGCCCCATGAAGTGATGCCCAACCGCAGCCAGACGCCGCGACGGGCCTTGAGTTGTTGGAGTCTTGGCGTGGTGATAGAGTGGGGCCACGGTGACCGGTTCTGCATGATTTAACCATTCAAAATGATGGTTGAACCAACAAGGATGGGGATTTGCAGGTAATCGATCTTTTACTGTGCAGACAATTTGGTTAACTGTCAGGTTTATGGGGGTACAACTATGAATGTTTTTTTTTTGGGATGGTGGACCTATCACTGGGAAGGATGACAGTTGATACCCCCAGTACTATCCCAATGGAAAGCTCAATTTCACTCCAAGCCAACTGGGATGAAGCGGGATGATCCCCAACAATCCACAGCCAAGGTATGTGGATCTGACTGAAGCTTCAAACGCGTGTGCTCAGCCAATCGACGTGTTTATTTCAAGCTGAGCGGCAAAAGTGTGGTCGCATGAACCATGCGGCCGTGTGGGAAAATTAAAATGTCATGAGTCATGATGCTTGCTCCGTCTGGAAGTGATGGTTTTTTAAGTGCGATTCATGCTGAAGCAATCATCGGAAACTCCAGTTATGGGCCACTGATGGGTGGCATCACCATGGTCTCTTTGTGCGGTTGAAGGAGCAGCCCAGAGAATCAATCATGATCCTTATAGATTCCATAGATACTGTGTATACATTCCAGACTGAATTGAGTGTCCAGAAACTTTGGTTTGGGGTAGTTTGTGTTTATCCCAAAAAGGGATTTGCAAAATGATGTTGATGAGCAGGGGTTTTCAAAACTGCTGAAAACTCAAATTGTAAATTGGACACCTCTTCCCCATCAACCCGGGGTTTGATTATATAATCCCTGGATGATGCCCATTTCCGCTACTATTGAGGATAGACCCAACAAGATTGAAAAGCGAAATCCCATCACAATGGTGATTTATCTATTGTGTCTACCTGTTTTGGGGGTTACTGTACTATGCCTTTTTCGGTCGGCATAATTATAGGTACTATCAATACTATCCATACTCTGAATGTTTATGCCCATGGTCCTGCCAAAAGAGATCGCAACCTTATGAATCAGTGTTGTAAACCAAAATATGACCAGTGGTATGATATGAACCGTTTCCAAATGGTAAGTGTTTATTGTTGGGTCGGTTTAATACATTGTATTGTATATCTATAATTTAATCATGCCATGAACATATCTAAAAATTACAATGGTTCATTTACCCTTTGGTTATTTAGCATAGCGAGTACAATTACCATTTTTAATAGGTAATCTATATTTATGGGTCATGTTCCATAGCTAATTTGAATAACCAGAGGGTATTTTCTACACGTCGCTGGGTATATGTCGACTTTCCAGGAGCGGCAAAGCAGCCTGGCGCAATCGCCTTTGGTGGCCGAGCGTGGCCTGACCGCAGATCGAAATTTGGACACGTTTTCAGAAAATGGAGAAAACATAGAGAACATGTTTTGGGATATAATCATATATCATGGGATATATTGAATGGGATTCATTGAAATGTTCTCTATAATAAGGACAAGTGGGATTGAATGGGATATATTGAATGGGATATCTCATTGGATATAATGGCATTCTAATCCACTTAATGGAATATACCCTCTAGTAATTTAATATAGCTATTGAACATGGCCATTTAGTTCGTTTATTTACCAACTAAGAATAGTCATTTTCTACAGCTATGTTAGTTTACCAGAGGGTTTTATTCGGACAAATGGGGAAACATGGAGAAGAAATGGAACAAAAACACATGGATAATACGGACTTTAAATGTGTTAGGGAAACAAACATGACTTTCCTGCATTCATTTTTGTTGCATCAATCCGCTGAACATGTGACAAGAACTGCAAGGGATTGATTTGGCGGCTTGGCGGGTTATGGGATTGTAGAAACATGTCCAGAATTCTGGAAATATAAGTGTAATTTAAATTGGATCCAAGACGCAGCACCACATCAGTTTATGTATCGATTGGATTGCAGTGGCTGGTAAGTTTGATGATGTTTAAACGCATTTTTTCGTCATGAATGATCTGAGTGTGCAGCGTTGCAAACACTTGGAACGTGACTTTGGGAGGTGATAGGTGAAGGATGATCCCAATTGACCAGCACATGTTTCGGTGATTGACCCCTATGGCTTCACCACAGTGACTAGGCCGCTGCATTCTGCTACTTAATAGGACCCAATTGAAATTCTTTGGATCCCAATATTCTGCATCCATCTGCATCCCATGATCGCTAGGTTCCAAAGTTCATCATCGGCTAAACGAATGCATTCAACTGAAGCGAGGGGTCCCGACTGGTCGGTGTGATCCGTGTTCTCCAACTTGTACTGAATGGCATTGCCAGCTTTCCCATCGGTCGGATGTTTTTAGTTGTGGTAAAACCATTTTGAGATAACCAAAGTTTGAAGCGTACCCTTTTTGATACCTTTTAAGCCATGTTTCAAAAGTTATTCTTCTTGGTGATTCCATGCAAAATATTGGCAAAATGACATTGGCATCCCCGTGGTGGTGGTTCTTTTGTGTTTTGCTATCTGGAATCATTTCTGACTGTCGAGAGTCGAAAGATATGTATGTTTTGGGTCGACATTCAGGCAGCAACGGGGCGTTTTTCCTGCGCGGGGCAGGGGCAATGTTGAAACTAAAAGCATTGGCATGACCAATGACTGCACTCTGGGCTTGATGTTAGACTCTTAGGAACCTAGGAGGTTTTTTAGAGATTATGTGAACAGATCGCAAGTGATGTTTATCAAAAGTGGGTTGATTCCTTAAACTGCATAATTTGAACGGGTACCTCTTGGATATCCTGCTCAAAAGCAAGCATTCAAACAGTATGCACGCCCAGCACACCTAACCTTTGCATCTCCTTGGAAACATGCAGCTGCTGCACACATTGAAAGCAGTTGCTGGATGATTGTTGGAATCTCCCTGCCATCCAATTAGCTTCTGTTGGCCATGTCTGCTAATGCGTGCCATTGTCAAGTTACATGGATCATGGATCAAGGGTTATTTTCGCAGAAAAGGGGATGGTCATACCCCCTTAGTAAAGGTTAGCATATTAAACATACATACCCATTAAAGGATTCCCCAAATAGGGGGATGACTAAACTCTATTTACCATGTTTCAAGCATGTCACATATGTATCAACGTGTATTACAGTAAATGTATTTAAATATACTTGAATGTGACATACTGTGAAGCGTGAACCGCATGCTTACCTCCAACGAAAGCTATGTCACTTCCCTGAGGACACAGTTGGAAGGCAAAGTTCAAGGCAAATGCTCGGAAGCTGCCGGATGGTCCATTTGAGCTTCCCCTGTTTTGACACCAAAACTCGATCTGTTAATAGGGTGGATTGGGGTGGGGTATCTTCAACTTACTTTTTGATCTATTTGAGCAATCTTACCTTTGCTGGCCCCGAAAAAGTCGTCATGGTTTCGTTCTGAAAAACTGTTGAGCTCAACTTCGAAGCCCTAGTAAAGCCATCTCCCATCCACTCCCATCCGCCTCGTCAGGTCTTTATGCTCGGGAAAGGGCAAAGGAAGAACAGCGACGGATGGAAGAGGAGCCGATGGAAGAGCAAAGTGCCTTTTGAAGGGAGATCCCCACGACTTTGGGTGCGGAGTGGGGATGGGTCGGTCAAAACCCATCATACAGTAGATATACAATGATATATACATAGGTGTGTATACATAGGTGTGTACACATATACATATATATATATATGTATAGTAGACATGTGTGTAATATACACAATCAGTAGAAGCCCATGAATGATTAATCCTGATTAATCCACATGTGGGGATGGGTCAAAAGCTGTGACTGGCAGCACAGTTTTGGGGGAACATCCAGAACTACCAGCGGCGTGTTCACCAGGATACCAGAGTAGTCCAAGTGACGAGTCTTTGTAGATACATCACATATGGAGGATATGGTTTGTATGTATGTCTTATGTAGATATTCCAGTTTGTTTTCTGATGGTTACTGAGTTTGGCCATGGGATTCTGTTTGGTGATTAGTTGGATGTGAAACTAAACTATTTGTTTATTGTGACGCTCGTTGACGCTCGTTATTTTGCTCCATCTTGGTACCAAACAACATGAGAGTAGATGATGATACAAGCAAACATACTTGCAATGTGGGTCCCCGGCGGTTGTGCTTTGGTTTGTAACCCTTCTAATTACGGATATATCTACTATAGACTATAATTAAACTACGTAAAGCTCGTTATAAACCAACTTACCTATCTTGGCGGGGCCCTACATTGTGGGATGATACTATATTGCATATTGGGCATGGTGGTAGGTTTTCAAAATCAGAGCAGAATTTTGGTTTATTCAACTTGTTGCCTAGTGGCCCGAAGATTGACAAAATCATAGGATCCCGTTTTTGGAAAATGATTTTGGAAACCCTTCGCCCTTCATCTGAGTGACTTAGGAACTCTGAAGAATTGCACGAAAAATCCTATTACCCTCTGGTAAACATACAAAAAACTATGGAAAATAACCAGTTTTAATGGGAAAATCCACTATAAATGGCAATTTTCAATAGCTATGTTAAATTACCAGAGGGTATACTTGATCATCGAATCGTCGAGATGAAACCGATGGAAAAGAACGTGGGGATTCGGGTCTGGGATTATCGACCATCCCATTTTGTGGCTGTCCCAAAATAAATATATAGTTATACAGTAACTATATGTGAGATATTGGTATAGTTAACTATATAATAAATATATCTCACATATCGTATCATACCATGTTCGCCAGCAAAATTCTCGATTTTTGGTACCCAAACAAGGAGATGAGGCGTCGGGCAGCAGAAGAAGAGGCTTTCAAAACGGCCCTGGTATTGGGTGGGCATCAGCCAAGATGATCAACAGAACTGCAGAATGTACTGGGCCATGGGCCATGGGATGAGCGATTCCTGGTTCGTAAGTGATTTACCCTCTGGTAAACATACACAAAAATATGGAAAATCACCATGCTATCAATGGGTAAATCCACTATTTCTATGGCAATTTTCAATAGCTACGTTAAATTACCAGAGTGTATAACATATTATCTCCATTCACTAACCAGTTAACTCAGTTAACTCAGTTAGCTAACTCCATGGCCCATCTAAGTATCAACAGATGGGGAAACAGTTTCCCGTTCGCAATGACTTGATCCCCGGTTTCGGGGGTACTGAAACGATTTCCACTTATGGGACCAAGGTTTCCAATGATAAATAAGTAATACATGCATATTTTTGCTTGTGTATATGCATATCATATGTTTGTTGGATTGTCTGAAGTGAGGGAACCTCCAAATTTTGTTGGCTGAGACCATCATTGACTCGTACAGCTGAAGGGAGGCAGCATATCGCAGAGAGCCAGGTGTGTATATATATATATACACAATATAATAATATCATATATATATATATACAGTATATGTATACAGTATATGTATACATACAGTGTATATATATATTTACATTATATATATATATATATCACATCTATATATATATATATACACAATATATATATATATATATACATACATTATAGAATTGTATATATATATATATTAGATAATGCCCATGTCCATATCAATACATATAATATTATATGTTGAAACATATTGTATCCTTCATCTGCCGAATAATTGTTTGTTTCTGTAAGTCTTTATGTTTCAAAGCTCCACATCAGCACAACTTGCAGGAACTCAGACGTCAAGCAGAGGAGGAAGAGGAGGTTCGGAATACGATAGTCATCGTGGACATCCTGGGCATCTATTCACGACAATGTTTTTTCATCAGTAGTAGGTAATCTTTCTTGTTTGTGAGTCCTTTTGCCCAGTTTCCATACACACAAGTGGAGCACCAAACTGCTTCGAGACTCACACGAAGGAGTTTGGTATTGAAACTAGGGGATTGTGATATATCTCGCAGGCTTGCCTCCAGTTGAGAGTGTCTTTGACATGGCAAATTGAAAACAGGATTGTTGACGACAAACAAGTTTATGGCTTTATCAAAACAGAACTGTTGGCGGCTGTTTTTTGAGCCAGTCACAGCGTGTTTTGGCCCAGACAGTCCATGCATTTTATTGTATGCCAATATTTAGAGCACTCTTACGTATACCATACATTAATGATCCTATATCATATGTATATGCGCAAGACATATATATATATATATGTAATATATCTAAACATACATACATTACATTACCTTACTTACCTTACATTACATTGCATTACATACATGCATGTCATATATCTATACTTTCTATACATGCATGCATGCCTGCATGCATACATACACACATACATGCATGCATGCATGCATGCATACATACACATATCTATATGTATATACGATACATTTTAATGATGTGCGTGCACAGTCCACAGTACATCAAAACACATGAAAGACCAGAATGTTCCACGCATCCGCCAGGAACGTCGCCAAAAGCTGCGCGATGAGCGGCGGAGACTCAAGGAAGAGCGGCTGCAAAAGGCGAGGTGCAGGGGTGGAATAAATTGCAATCAATAATTTATATATTTAAATATACATTTGATTACAGGTGTGTATATATATATATATACAGAGAGAGAGAGAGGGAGAGATGATACACACACACATATATATATATATATACATGCATATGTACAGAGAGATATTAAAAAACGATTACAAACACACATGTATAGAGAGACAGTATAGAGAGGGAGATAAATGCCTAATTCCTGTGCATATAAGAACACACACATTTATTTATATGCTGTGTATATATACATATATATACATCATTGTGGGATCGATGAACAGGGGTGTCAAGATGTTCCAATCCATATCTACTGTCACCTCTCCAGCATTGTGACTATGGATGGTGAATCTTGTTAAAGACCCGCGACTATCACGACTCTTGTACTATGGTTTTCGAAAACTCTGTGTATCATTGTTTACCCAAATTCACAGAGCATTTCAACTAAACCCTGCTGGATAAGTCATAGCCGTAGCCGCTATAGCCATGTCGCAGGACCGAAAGCAGGAGGAGGCGCCAAAGCTATGGAGCACCATAGGGATGCCCATCATATGCCTGGTGATAGGACAGGACAATATCTGGTTGGTGGTTTGGAACATGTTTTTTTCCATTCAGTTGGGAATGATTGCATCATCCCAACTGACGAAGTCATATTCTTCAGAGGGGTGGCTCAACCACCCACCAGATATGATAGCATGCTTTGTTTGACAAGACTCTTTTCCATGAAGCGGATGTGAATATATGAGCATGTGTCTTGGAATGAAGGCATGCTGTGTCATTTTGAAAAATAAACTCCTGCTATACTCTCACGCTGAAATGCTTTGAAGGAAATCCCTTTAGGTCCGCACATGAAAGATCTGTCGGCTGATGCTCTTCCAGCTCTATTTTACTGCACTGTCATTGCAATGTGGCATATCTACCCAATTTCAGCTGACCTGAAGCCATCTGTAACCTGAGACTTCTGGTTTGATGTAGGCATGGCCATTGGAAGCTGATGCCCCATGTCCTTGTGGATGCTTTGGCAAAGGATCCACTTTAGAGATCAACCACCGGGCCAGAATGCAATCACACAAAAGCCGCCACTGACGTCACTGGAAAGAGTCTTACGAGGATTGGTTATCATGATGCCTTTTATGTTCATCCATATTCCTTTTATGTATTGTGATATATATATAATACACATATATATATACATACATACATATACACATATATACAGTATGTATATATATATACATATCATACGTGTACATCAATCTACATGCCCTTCGCATTTCACCCTACTTCTATAGCTATGTACATCTATGCGCTGTTCACGGTTCACGGTGCTTTTCCGGAGCTTCCACAGGTCCAGGTGGCAGCTGTACCTCACATCTCAGGGATTCCTGAGCTGCCGAAGGCTGGGAATCTCAGACATGGGAAAACTATCCCCAAATCCATTGGATCAAGTGTTCCAATAGTTTTCAGGCCCTTTGGAAATCATTGCCATGTCTCGAAAATCCCACGTTTTCTGATGTAGTTCGATGATTAATGTGTCTGAATAATAAACCATCCCCAAAATCATCATACATGGGATGTATAAACCATACATGCGACTACCACTAAAAGATGGGAAAAGTAGTACAACAAGTTATTGGGTAAGACACAGTTTTTATGCGTACTAACAGAGGGTCCAGGTAGATGTTTATTTACCCTCTGGTAAACATACAAAAAAACTATGATGGACAATCACCGTTGTGAATGGGAAACCACTATTTCTATGGCCATTTTCAATAGCAAACTGTTAGTCATTACCAGAGGGTAGTTCACATATTATCTACATTTACTAACCAGTTAACTCAGTTAATTCAGTTCACAAATGTCCCACTTTCGCCATGGAACACCTAGGAGCCTCCGGGTTCAGCGGAGATGCGACTGTTGGAGCAGACTCTGTTGCGCCCCAGCGGCATGTTGTTTTGGTTTTTGCAGCGCAGCTACCCGGTAGGTATGAAAAACATATGGAAAAGTATGGAAAACCGCAAAAACACCATGTTCTAGTGATTTTTAAATGAACGAATTGTCTATAAAGAGGCCATTTGTCATTTTACATAGCAGTGATACATTACCACAGTGTTACATTACCGAAGGGTAACGTATCCCTATGATTGTTGGTAGGTTGTAGCCCGCAAGATTGGGACCAAAAATACCGAAACAAAATGCCAATCAACATGTTTTTTCTCGGATACTCCGATCACTGCTATCCAGAAGAAGTCGTTGAGGATGTGACTCCAGCTGATCCACGTTTTTTTTTCCAGATGATGGAATTTAGATTGAGGAGGAACTCACATCATTCATGCGTAGGTTATTCTGCTTGGTGCATAGGTCCTGCGTAGGCATATACGTAGGAACATTACATGTAGGAGAGGCTGCGTAGGCAGTCTCACGTAGGCGCACGTAGCCGTTTGTTTAGATGTTCTAGATTTGTTTCTGACCTCAAACTCTTGTTTTCCTTGGTGGGTTACAACGATTTTTCATGCAAACTGGATTGTATGATTCATATGTTTAGCTGGAAGAAAGGGGAGATTAAAGAAACAACCGTTTTTTCAGAAAATTACAAGTGCCAAGTTTTCAGAAAGCCATTTTCGGTTCGGATTTTCGCATAGGCTCCGCGTAGGCCCTCGCGTAGTAGGAAACGCGTAGGTTTGTGGCCCGTAGCCCATCAAAGTGTTACTGTTTCACTTTTCTAATGTTTCCATGAGTTCATCATGACTGCCGATCACATCATGACAAAGTGCTCCACTCTTGATGAGGCTTCCGCCTTCCTTTCACAAGTCACCCAAAACCCAAAGAATCGTCATCTGCCAATTTTTTTTATTCCTCTTCTGAACCAGAATTGTGACCACATCATGTCAAGTAAAGAGATCGTTGCAGCAACTTTCGCGGAGGCAACCGCGTAGGCACTTCATGAAGGGTAACCCTCGCGTAGGCAGTTTTGCATGGGAGGAGTGGTTTGCGTAGGCCCCGCGTAGGTGTCCTAATTTGTGTATTGCAGTTTAGCAAGGGTAAAAAACACAACTCAGCTGGCCCAGAACTGATCACAGTATCTGAGCCAATTAACTTTTCTTCCCCCCACTGTGGGACATGTTCAAATATAGCTAAATCATAGTTCAACATGCTGATAGCCAAAATTAATCAGTTTTTTTTTTTAAACTTGGTGCTGGTTCTTGTCAGTCCTAGCACCATTCTTATATCCAGTGCTGTTTGATTGTCTAATAGTTACAAATCGATTTATGAGAATATATGTACATGGCTTCGATGTCACAATCTATGCGGTGTGATTGTTTCATGTTTCCACTTTGAAGTTTGCTTGCCAGCCCAAAAAACGTTAACTAAACCAAATTAGCGAAGGACCTGAAAATCCACCTTCCAGACAGCATCCGTGAGTTTCATGGCCAAGGTACTGCAAAAAGCTCTTGCCTAAGAATCATGACGAAGTACAGGAGAAGAAGCCAGTTGAGTGACCATGGAAGGTTGACTGTTCGGCGGTGTGGGCGTTTTTTTCAATATCTGTCTGTAAATATATATATATATTATTTATTTATATATATATATACATACACGTGTATTTATGTGATTTGTTCACAAGCTTCTACTGTATAAGTATATATGTCCTATTCATAAATACTCATATAAGTTATGTATGTACATAAATGTATGGGTCAAACTCTGGCAATCTCTATGACCGGAAGCATGTTCTCCTCCTCAACGTTCCAACTGTTGCACCTGAACGATTTTGAAGTTCTCAGATGCCACGCTGCCACCCCAAAGAACATTTTGTGTTTCCCCGTTTGCCTGCGAAAGGCTGCTTGCAGGCGGTGGTGGTGTCCAGTGATATTTCCTTGGTTTATTATACATACCCATTTACATTCATGAGCTAATTTAATCACCATAAACCATCATAAGTTTCATCATAAACCCAAGAGTTCTTTTTGTGAAGTCAACCGGGCAATGAACTGCTGCTGGCTTTTCTCGCAAGGTACAACAATCCAGAGGGTTCCTTGATTATCATTCCCAAGGAGGACAGCTCGCCTCGCCGGGAGCAATAGCCTAGTTGATTGGTGACTGGTTGGTGGTTTAGGGCTATGTTGTTTGAAGCTTCAAACCAGGGTTGAATGATCAGCAAGCGGTTGATCATTTACATTTGGCTGATTCAGGGGTAGCCCTAAATCTGATGGTTGATGAATGTTGATGATGATATTCACCATTTCAAACTTGATAGAGTAAGTAACCAGCAGATAGAAAATTCAGGATTGCCAAGTCAACAGATAGAATAGGACAAAAAGCAGATAGATAGAATATTATTCTTACTCAATAGGTTAAGTTATAATGAACAATTTCCCATCATTCCTTCAACTAAATCAAGTTAAGATGAACAATTTCAATGAGTATGTGTACCATTTCCCTGCAACTAGTTCAGGTTAAAATGAACAATTTCAATGATTATGTGTGTGATTTACTGCAACTACTTGATATATTTTTGCATGCCAACAGAGCTGGCACACAATCTTAAGGAACCATTATTAAATTATGTTGAAATCCATCCAAAATCAACAAAATCCTTGTAAAAACCATAGCACCAGCACATAGAATATTTTAATATTCTATCTGCAAGTTCTCTGGCTTTTTTTTCGACAAAGAGGAAGGCAAGTTGTTTATTCTATCTGCTGGCTACTTACTATATATTTTAGTTGCAATGTTTGGAGATCTGGAGTGAACACTTGAATATTCCCATGGTCTGTGCATTTGATTATATTATATCTATGTAGAATGGAATGTGCTATTGAGATGTCAAATATGAAGATCTCAATAGCACATGGGGCAAAGAGGTGTGTAGTCTAAACCACAATTCTGTTGTTGAGCAAGAGTTAACAACACATCAAATACCATCCTGTAATCAAACATGGCCCAATGGCACTTGAAAATCCTCCATTTAGTTCGATGATTTTCTGATTTTTCGACAGCTTTTTGTATCCGTTATTTCGTTGGGGAATTTTCCAGCTAGCAATGTTTGATGACATCAAAGCATATATCCATATATATCCCATTAAGTGGATTATGGTCCCGTTGGTTTTCCCATAAAAAAACCCATTAACAGCTCATTAACAGCCCATACAATTCTCAATCAATATCCCATTTTTCATAGCATTCTTAAACCATGAAAAAACCATTATTAACCATTAAATCCCATATAATCCCATATAATCCCGTATAATTCCATATACATATCCCATTATTCACCATGACTAAAAAAACCCTGATCTCAGCGCTTCGCTCATCTTCGCTCCGCACCATTCCGCACCTTCCAGGATCGCTCCGAGGAATATCTCTTCGCCCCTCCAAAGCCACGGCGACACGAGGGAAAGATCCGCAAGAGGCAATGGTCATATTAAGTCATATCCCATAGGATCCATGTATGCTATATATGGTAACATGGATCCCATCAATATACCCCCTTTATGTTAGCATATATACCAGCACCATGGATCCTATGGGTATGTATATATATATAATTACTTTAGTTGGTTATAGTTGGTTTATAAATTCCAAGTCCATCATCTGTATATATATATACACCGTGGATGGATATGTTCATGTTTTGGATCCTCAGACCAACCCTTGAGAGTGGCAAAGTTCTGTAGGTAACGGCAAAGTTTGCCCTAGCCCTTAGGTCTATACTTTGCCCCTACTTTGACTCCCAGGGTATATATAATTACTTTAGTTGGTTATAGTTGGTTTATCAATTTCGAGTCCATCATCTGTATATATATATACACACCGTACACACACACATATATATACCTAGCTTTAGTCACTGCAAAGACCCCAACAAAATGCTAAACCTACCAAAATTATGGTGTAAAAGAGAGTTCTCTGCTGCGTTGCTCTCACATCATGTACTGCTCTATCAGACTGAATATGGCCCTTCAAAATATTTGTTGTGTTCCTTCCTCAGAAATTGTTCCCTAGGGCCGCGCAGGCCTCCCACCAGCAAATTGAAGAAGTCGAAAGAAGCGCAGCAGGTGCAGCGTACGCTGGAAACCCCCATTGAGCATGGCAATACAGGCCCCCCCCCAGTCAGAAGTTGGTTTTATATGATTTTATGATATATATGTATATATATGTATATATATGTATGTATGTAATGTATGTAATGTATGTATGTATGTATGTATGCATGTATGTATGTATGTATGTATGTATGTAATGTATGTAATGTATGTAATGTATGTAATGTATGTATGTCTTGTCTGTTGTATGTATTATTGGGTTGATGTATGTATATTTGGTATGTATTGTATTGGATGATGTATTGTATGTATTCGTGGTATGTATGTATTGGTAGTAGTATGTATGTAAAGGTATTGTAATGTATGTATGTATGTATGTATGTATGTATGTATGTATGTATGTATGTATGTATGTATGTATGTATGTATGTATGTATGTATGTATGTATGTATGTAGTATGTATGTTAATGGTATGTATGTATGTATGTATGTATGTATGTATGTATGTATGTATGTATGTATGTGTGTGTATGTATGTATGTATGTATGTATGTATGTATGTATGTATGTATGTATGTAAGTATGTAATGTATGTAATGTATGTAATGTATGTAATGTATGTAATGTATGTAATGTATGTAATGTATGTAATGTATGTTATGTATGTTATGTATGTTATGTATGTTATGTATGTTATGTATGTTATGTATGTTATGTATGTTATGTATGTTATGTATGTTATGTATGTTATGTATGTATGTATGTATGTATGTATGTATGTATGTTATGTTATGTTATGTTATGTTATGTTATGTTAGTATGTGTGTATGTAATGTATGTATGTATGTATGTAATGTAATGTAATGTAATGTAATGTAATGTAATGTAATGTTATGTAATGTTATGTATGTAATGTATGTAATGTATGTAATGTATGTAATGTATGTATGTATGTATGTATGTATGTATGTATGTTATGTTATGTTATGTTATGTTATGTTATGTTATGTTATGTAATGTAATGTAATGTTATGTTATGTTATGTTATGTTATGTTATGTTATGGTATGGTATGGTATGGTATGGTATGGTATGGTATGGATGTATGTATGTATGTATGTATGTATGTATGTATATGATACTTAATAGATATAGATATATGATATATCCACTATAAATCTAGTTAGCCAAATTGTACAGTAAACCGACCTACCTACCTAAGATATATCCACTATAAATCTAGTTAGCCAAATTGTACAGTAAACCGACCTACCTACCTAAGAGGCCCCTTCATGTAGTGTTCGGTGGCATGATTGTCAGCGCTGCTAAGACTTCCACAGGAAACATCAGAATCATAAGACCCTGGCGTATCAATCGAGTGATGACTCTTACCATATACCTCTTAGTGGCACTAAGTGGTGGGACATTCCCGCTCCAATTTTGGAGACAACCCGCGAGTGGCTGCTGCAAGCGCAACTGAAACAGGTTGGAAATGATCCTTTATCATCATTCGTAGACCAAAGAAAGTCTGGAATGTACTGTGCATCAAATTCTGGTTTTCTTTATGTTGGTGCATTTTTAAAATATGCAAAGGTGGCTGTTCCTCATCTCTGGCTCAAAATCAAACTATAGGTCACCCAGGAGCACATGTTGAAAGATGCAACATGATCCATGGGATCCAACATGATGCACCTAAGGCTGACAAGACCGACAGAGCATCACCAAACACCATCCACCGACAGAACATCAGAAATGGACATGTGGAAAGCACTGTGATGCAGAGCACCAATGAGTGAGGCAACGATCTGTCCGACGGTTCAGTGTGACGGACGGGATTTGGGAATTGTCTTAATTAATATGATTAGTACGTCTCAGTTGAGTCTTCATGGTCTTCACAATGAAGAACCAAAGTTAAACTGTACAGATTATGATCGTTATCACAATATGCTGATATATATAGTTTGTATCTATTTCTGGCTGCTTTTGGCTGAGTATCATCACATCTCTTGGCAGCCTGTGAGCCTGTGAGGACACTGCTGATCTGGCAACAAAATACTCATTGCAATATACTCAATATAGTATGTTTAAGAAATCACACATGATCCCCATGATCTAAAATCGACAATTCTGGGATGTTCAGTGATACCCTCTGGTTATGACTAACATAGCCATGGTATAGATGGCCCATTTATAGATGGTTTACCTGGGTTTACCTATTAAAAATGATGATTTTCCATGGCGAACTGTTAAATAACCAGAGGGTATCTTGTCCTCTATGATCAGCCAGGCGGAAGGTGGCACTCGAAGCAGAGGCGACGATCCACGGCGACAGGGGGACTTTGGGGACCCATGGCTGAAATTGCTAGAATTCAGGCAGTGGCTGTTTGATGTCTGCAAAATCATTCAAATTGATAGGTTAAGAATGGTTGAGAATTATAAAAGGTTCGTTTTGTTTTTTCTCAAAACATAATTGAAAAGATACAAACAACTTGGTGCAACCGTGATTTAGCATGGAATTATCAACTGGGGTTGATCACATGTCACTCTAAGAAATTAGGATTTCACTCTTGATGAAGCAACATGACAATTGGACTTCTCTTGTCGTCAGTCTTGCAAGTGTTCATGCATATACTTTCCTTGTACCACTGGTCACTAGTCAGCTCCATGTAGACATATGTTTGTTTCATTTTGTTTCTATATTTATAATATCTGTATGGCCGTGTGTCCACGGGAAAGGTGCCATTCAAAAGCCTTGCTGTGGATTGGAAATGACCTCTATGAACACCAGCCGCCCAAAACATATGGAGATTTACAGTATCGTAGCGACTTGAATCGGGAATAGATCCGGCGTTTCTACTACGACAATTCATTCATGGGACACGTATGCAACATGGCTAGTTGACCAACATTTCTGCAGTAAAAAGGTAGAGGACATTAGATTAGAAACAGCAGTGGGCTGATCTGCCTTGTTATTGGTGCTTTTGGGGAAACATATTGCAATTAATCATATTGTCATAGTGTCATCATTTTATCAATGGATCGGATTAAGGGGAATGCCCCATATTTAATGGGAAGGTCTATGGTTTGCTGTAGATTTTCCCTTAAACCAATCCATTGATTTTATAATGGTCTCATCCTAATATCAAGAGAATACTCCAACTTGGTCAACTTGGTCCTATATCTGCAAGCCCACTTCCGCTTCCAGCAGCCGTTGTTGTTTCTGGGACATGGTCATGATTCCTATGAATACTTTGAATGATTACACTATGAATAGTCATACTTAAAGTTCTATCATGATGATTACTATGATTACTATGAATACTATGATGACATTTATTCCAAGGTCCAATTCTCTTGGAATCCCAGCCCTGCAGTCCTGTACGTCGCAGCGTCGCAGGCTGGTCAGCCCTGCGGCGTCTTCGTCGCGTTCGGCGCGTGGTGACGCCCGCAACGCCAACGGCTACAACGGCTGCTCCAGCTGCTGCTGGTCCCCGAGGTTCCAGCAACGATGTGGACATAGACCAAGGGATTCAAGTCATTTAAAGTCGCTCAAATTATGAGGATAGTAACATTGGTTAATAGTGATTAATAGTGATTAATACCTGATTAATATAGTAACTTATTTTTCTACTTGGGTCTAGGCAATGATATTTCAAGGGACAACTGCTTAGTATGTTCATATCACATCAAGGTCACGTTAGTCCTGTGTTAATAGCCTCCGGCAATCAAACGTGTCTTGCTGGAAGATCCACCATTTATATAGTTTGATTGTTTCCCCAGCTATAAACCTCCATCTTGGGGAACCATGTTTGATGACACCGGCGGGTCTACCATTAAATGTCACATGATTCCCAATTATTGACAATCATTGACCATTGCTAGCCACTATTAACCACTATCTACTAACTATAAACCATTAGATCAGCAATCTATTAAGTGTCAATAACCACTATTGCTATTGTGAGCAACTATCTACTAGCCACTATTAACTAGTATTTATTATTAACCACTAGATCAACCATCTATTATATATATTTATTACCTACTACTAGCCACCATCAACTATTATTAACCACTGTTCACTACTATTCAACCACTATTCACCACTATTTGTTATTTTTGGCCATTACTTAGGATTATCAACCACATTTAACCACTATTATTCACCATGATAACATATATTAAATTTTCCTGGTAAAAACCAATCCTATCTCCTTCACAAGAAGCCAGGCCGTCGAGCCAGCCGGGGAGCAAATCGCGCCTTGAGAAAAGATTGGTTGAAGGATATTTAATGGGGATGTTTACCCTCTGGTAATTTAACATAGCTATGGAAAATCACTATTTTCAATGGGAAATTCCACTATAAATGGCAATTTTCAATAGCTATGTTAAATTACCAGGGATGTTTCATGGAATTTGGATGTGGGTCAAAATGGAAGACCGATGTGGGACCACAGATGTGAATGTCTAGTGTAGTAGAAAAACCATCCAATTATTGGGGTACGTAATTTTGATCCATACCCATTCATTGGGAGATGTTTCACCAACAAGGTACACACACTTGTTGAAAGTCGCACTCCCTAAAAAGAATACTTCCTTCCCGCTAAGATGAAACACCTTCCCAGAAACCCCAACTTGAGCGGGATTTCCACACAATTGGGTCCATAGAAAGGGGGCGTTTAATACTAGAGGGATGGGATTAATTAATGGGAATGTTTCATGGGATTTATTGCGAGATGTTTCACTAACAACAAGGTATTTGGATGTATTTGGCCGGGTTTGTCTGAAAATGGAGGAATTGTTCCAAATATATAGCTATGTCGATAATTTCGATAGGAAAGATTGTGAGGAAGCATCAAATTTGGGGGTAGCCCAATTTCAGACGAAACCTGAACGCAAACCCAGTCATATCCAATAATAACACAGGCATTTAACACGATTAACACGTAAACATATGGAGTTTCAACATGTTTCAACATGTTTCAACCATATACACTTTGGCAGAAAATTTTCCCATGGCAGTTCAGTGGATCTGGATTTTTTGTGGCACCTCCTGAGCGAAGAAGAGTTTGTCACCATATGTCACCTAAGAATTGAAACACAAGAAGTACCCTGAACATGGAGAAAAAATACTATGAGATACTATCTGGTTGGTGGTTTCAAACATTTTTTATTTTCCACAATATATGGGATAATCCTTCCCATTGACTTTCATATTTTTCAGAGGGGTTGAAACCACCAACCAGCTATGAGATTCTGATTTTATGCAAAAAAGTCATAACATTTAAGTCTAGTTGTCCCACCCAACATCGGGACTATAGCTTCACATGGGTGTCTCCGAAAATCGGGAACGCGTGATTAATGTTTCGCTTAAAGAACAAGAGTGGTGCGGGGGTGATGATATTTTGTGTATCATGATTGTTTGATGTTGTTAATTATATGGTTGAATATTATTACATGTTGTTTACATATATATTTACACAGCATATATATATATATATCACCAAATTATATCCCATATATATACATGTCATCAAGCTATATCCTATATATATGTATGTATGTATGTATGTATGTATGTATGTATGTATGTATGTATGTATGTATGTATGTATGTATGTATGTATGTATGTATGTATGTATGTATGTATGTATGTATGTATGTATGTTATGCAATGTAATGCAATGTAATGCAATGTAATGCAATGTAATGTAATGTAATGTTATGTTATGTTATGTTATGTTTGTATGTATGTATGTATGTATGCATGTATGTATGTATGTATGTATGTAATGTATGTATGTAATGTATGTATGTAATGTATGTATGTAATGTATGTATGTAATGTATGTATGTAATGTATGTAATGTATGTATGTAATGTATGTATGTAATGTATGTATGTAATGTATGTATGTATGTATGTAATGTATGTATGTAATGTATGTATGTAATGTATGTAATGTAATGTAATGTAATGTAATGTAATGTTACGTATGTATGTATGTATGTAATGTATGTATGTATGTATGTATGTATGTATGTATGTATGTATGTATGTAATTAATGTTATGTATGTATGTAATGTTATGTATGTATGTAATGTTATGTATGTAATGTTATGTATGTATGTAATGTTATGTATGTATGTATGTTATGTTATGTTATGTTATGTTAAGTTATGTTATGTTATGTTATGTTATGTTATGTATGTATGTATGTAATGTTATGTATGTATTGTTATGTATGTATGTATGTATGTATGTATGTATGTATGTGTATGTATGTATATGTATGTATATGTATGTATATGTATATGTATATGTATATGTATATGTATATGTATATGTATATGTATATGTATATCCCATTAAAGAACAATTTGCCGTGTGACCGTGTATAACCCGTTTTGCGAGTCATCTTTGCTCCAAGGTCTACCCGGCGCCGGCCATCTCAGAGGGCACGGCACCATCCCAAGCACCAAGGGGGGCAAAAAGCTCTACTTGGAATGGCCACAGGCAGCCCTGGTTAATACAGTTTATACCTGGAAGATCCCAGAAAATGGGGGTTTATACAGTGGAAATACCTGGAAAAATCATATCAAACATTATTACCCTCTGGTAAACAGTCCCAAAAAACCATGGAACATCACCATGCCATTAATGGGAAAACTCACGAAAACTCGACTGGGCCATGTTCAATAGCTATGTTAGTCATTACCAGACGGTACGTATTGACCCATGATCCATGATGAAATCCTATCTGAAATCCTTTGGAACCAGAATGGCCTCCGCTTTAGGAACAAGTTTTGCTGCAACTCGGCCACGTTAGTCGAGTCATGTCGAGTCCTACCAGCCTCGCAGGTGAAAATTCCATGGTCTCCAGAATGGCATGACGAATTGGTTGAAATCCTACAGTCCAAGTCCTTGGACATACACCATGAAGGCGGTCGCAGCCACAAGGGAACGTAGCTGGTGAAAATCATAATTTTACTTTACTAAAATCAACATTTTTACAGTATTCACTTTCCAGAACTTGGGGGTACAAAAGCGAACGCATCGATAAACGCGGTTTAGTCTAGGGAAACCAAATGTATCCTAAATGTGAAGAACCAAAATCATAGGGTTGTGGCCGGTTGTGGATTTAGGAATGTCAGTGGTTTGATGTCCACTTGATCTCCTGGATTTCCGCCGGGATTTCCGCCCCGATTTCTGCCTTCAGGTCATCAATTCTTCTTGGAAAATTGTCATGGGAAGCGCTTCAAAGCCAAGAGTAAACACTGCCAGGCGGCTAGGATGTCGCTCAAATTGCTGGATTTGATGGTGATTGGAGGTGTGTTTTGTTTGGTGATTGGACTATGATCATGACTATCATCCATATAGTGGGATCCATTCACAGGACTTTCAGCGGCACTCTTCGTGATGTTGTTTCAGGGCAACTTTTCCCAGGTTTGTCTTTAGGTTTTCACGTAATGCGCGTAACATACTTAGACATGTCTATATCTATATATCCAAGAATATATATTAAAGGGCTCCGCCCCCTGCCGCCGACCCCTGGGCATATCTTCTGTGGCGCGTGAGCAACTGCGCCATGGTGACTTGTCCGACAATAACCATCGCTTTCTGCACGGGCGGCCTACCACAGTGCCAGGCAGCTGGATTGCTGGGCAGGCGACGTGCCAACAACCAAGTTGCGCCGCGTTGCCTACACAAGGCCTAATTCCAGAAGCCATACAAGAGGCCGAATGCAGCTACTGTGCGGCGGATCGCCGTTCGCGCATACTTGTGGCGCAAGGAGCTGCGGACACACGGTTCCAGAAGGAATTTGCAGATGCGGTCGCGATTTTCGGCACCAACGACATCAAATACCACGTGAACAAGCTTCGCGCCATACAGTGGGCGAATGCCAGAGACAAGCAACCGTATTTATTTGTTGCGCAAGATGTTGCGTCGTCTGTGGTCGTGCAGGAGAAGCCGAATTTGACGACGGAGAAATTGCAATGGTTGCAGCGACACGACAAAGAGTGCGGTGGACTGTACGGCGTGTTGCCGTTGTGCGTCGGCATGCCTGTCCGTGCAACAGATCACCTCGACCGGAAGCGTGGCATTCTAAAAGGCACCAAGGGCTACGTCGTCGGTTGGTCCACGATTGCCAATGAGACGCCTGCGCCGGAAGGAGTCGTGTGCAACACTTTGCCGGCCGTGGTGTATGTGAGGTTTGAAACCGCAACCTCATGGCATGTGCCAGGTCTGCCGGATGCAAACGTATACCCCGTCGGAACTTGCAGGCGTGTGTGGTACTTAGACCGGCAACGCCAACGCCCCAAGCTGCGTGTATCGCGGACGCAATTCCCGCTCGCACCCCAGTTCGCCATCACCGCGCATGTGGCGCAAGGACAGACCATCAAAGAGGGGGTGATGACGGATCTTTGTATAGGTCCCACAGGAAATCCCTTCACGGTCTATGTCGCGATCACTCGCGTCACAGGACGCGAAAAATTGTTGATTTTTCGACCTTTTGACGCCGCTCCATTCCAAAAGGGAATTGGTTTGGGCCGAGACCTTCTTCTGCGACACCTTCGAGGGGATTTCATCAACTGGCAATCGTTGTTGGCCAAATACTGCGAAGAACGTCGGTGTGCAACCTGTACGGAACGCAAGCCAGCAGCAGCCTTCACGACCGGTCAATGGAAGCGCGAGGACAAGGATCGCGTCTGTCGCGAATGCACAAAGCACTACGCAGACGCAGGAACGCCGTGGCAATGCAACGTTTGCAAGCTGTGGCATGCCGAAGACAATTTTCCAGCAAAGCATCGTCAACGGCAATGTAGTTTTTTTCGTGTGTGTTTGACATGTGAAGTGAAGAAACCTTGTTTCAAGTGTGGCGTTGTGAAAGCAGAATCCGACTTTGGCGCAGCCGCATGGAAAGCTCGCCACGCGGATCGCCGCTGCTGCAGAGAATGTGCCACCAAAGTACGCGGCTGTTGGCAATGTCGCCAGTGCGCGGAACGCAAGCCACGAACAGAGTTTACAGCTTGGCAACAAGGTCGTGAATATACTCAAAACGGCACACAAGTATGCAACGCATGCACAGCCTTTGCCTTCGTTTGCCGTCTTGCTCATCGCACGAATCAACGCCTGGCCCGCTTGCGCCAACGCGAAACCCGCCACCGGCACGCAGCAATCCTAGAGGACGTTCGCAAGGAAATTCAGGAAATACACGAAGCAAGACAAACTTCCACGCGAGCAGAAGGTCCCAAAACGGACACTGCCCACTCATCGAACCAGCAGCTTGCTGTCGGGCCTGACACAGCACCGCCACGACTGCACATATACATCTGCCCGTACTGTGCCAAGTCTGTGCAAAGCCCTGTGGCAACAGGGCGCGTCGATCACCGCCGCGGTAATGGCTGCGGCAAACAATTTCGCGTTACCAATGGCCTGCTCGCAGGTCGCACATATTCGCATGCATGTCCAACATGCGGCACGGTGGTGCACTCAACACTGGCTTCCGGCCGAATTCGGGTAACGCATCGCAATCCCAGCGGCCGGCAGTGTCGCACCAACCAGTGGCGCGTGCATACCTGATGAAATTTCCAGCTTAAGGTCGCCGCACCGCACGGCAATGCCCCACATTGCTTTCTCAACCTACAAGAAAAGTAGCCGTCTTCCAGCTTTCCAAGTTCAGAAACGGCGCCTCCGCCACGCCCAAACAGCAGGGCCCTGAAGGACGGACCGAGCCTCCGGGCAACGGCTCCCACTGCTTAACGTTACTAACGTTGCTTTCTGAAGCTACAAGAAAACTAGCTCTCTTCCAGCCGTCAAGGCTCACAAACGGCGCCCTCGCCACAGCAAAACAGCAGGGCCCTGAAGGACGGACCGAGCCTCCGGGCAACGGCTCCCAAACTAGCTCTCTTCCAGCCGTCAAGTCTCACAAACGGCGCCTCCGCCACGCCCAAACAGCAGGGCCCTGAAGGACGGACCGAGCCTCCGGGCAACCGCTCCCACTGCCTAACGTTGCTTTCTGAACCTACAAGAAAACTAGCTCTCTTCCAGCCGTCAAGGCTCACAAACGGCGCCCCCGCCACAGCAAACCAGCAGGGCCCTGAAGGACGGAC